CCCACCCTTTGCCACCCCGGGAGGAGGAGTTCTTCTGGTGTCTGGCCTCGCCCGCGCCCGGGGACGGTACAGACTGCCGGACCTCCCCCCCTCCCCGCCACCCCCGTTCCCTCGGCTACCGTGCCGGGAAGCGAGGCTGACGCCAGCCAGCCAGTCCTGCACGCCAGGCTGGGAAAGAGGAACGAGTTAAGCCAGATTTCCTTCATCTGGGAGATGGGGCTTGGAAGAAAGAAGGGCTGGGGGTAAGCTCGCCCCGCGGACCGTCGGGCCCTCCAGACGCTCCGACTGCTGGTGGAGTAGCTCCGTGCAAACCTAGAGTCTCTGTCTCTGTGTGAGCGCAGCCGGGGAAGCGGACAGGTGTCCACATGCCCTGCCCACGCTTGCCCCCCTGTCTGATGGCTTTTTCCCACCTCCCTTCTAGTCTGGCTGCCCTCGTCCTCCTGCTGCTCATATTCTAGAACAGACGCGCACCTCTCACAGGATGGCAGATGTAGTGCAGGGGGCAGGGTGACACCGGTCACCGTGTCACCCAAGCTGCTCCTCCACTCTTGCCCACACCTCCCCAGCCACACTCTTCTTACCTCACTCCCACTTCCAGGCCCCAAGGGGCAGAGATTGGAAGGAACCCAAGCTTGCTTCTCTCTTTTATTGAACTATATTTTCTGGGCAGTGCCCGCCTACCTACCTCAGCATGGCCTCTTTGGCACTGAAAGCTGGAGAATACAAAATCAGTAAAAAAAACTAAGCCTGGATTTTCCAAGTGCATAGTGCATGAGCACTGAAGGCCTTTGGTACGCGAGAACCGGGGAGAGTGTGTGTGGGGGTGTGGCAGGGGGTTGGAAGCTTGCCCCAGGGGCCTCAGGGAACTGGGAACAGGCTGCTATAGATGAAGTGGCCCATGACCAAAGCCAGCATCTCTGAGGTGCCACTCAGCGCCACAATGAAGGGGGCCTGGGAGGCATAGTCAGCCTGGAGGCGGCGGAAGGACAGCTGCAGCATAGCCAAGGCCAGCAGGCTGTTCTGCACCCCTACCTCGATGCTGACCGTCCGCCGCTGGGCCACGGGCAGCTTCAGACATGTGGCCAGGCAGTAGCCCACCAAAAGGCCCACCAGGGGCACCGTGACGCCCACCAGCACGATGGGGAACCTGACGCCCGCCAGGATGAAGACGCCCATGCGGTAGGCCAGGAAGAGGCCTCCCAGGAGGAGCACAAAGCTGAAGGGTTTGATGACCTGCAGCAGCAGCTGGGAGAACCTGGGGAGCTTGGACTTGATCACCACACCAGCTGCTATCGGGATGGCAATGAACAGCAGCGTCCCCAGGATCTTGGAGACGGGCACATGGAGGGTTTCGTGGATGCTGAGCAGGCGGCTGTAAATAGCTGAGGACAGTGGCAGGAAGCCGGTGGCAGCCACTGTGGAGATGAAAGTCATGGAGATGGCCAGGGTGACATCTCCTCCGAGGAGGAGGCTGAAGAGGTAGCTCCCCCCGCCCCCGGGCGAAGAGCAGGTGATGATGAGGCCCAGAGCCAGGGCCTTGGGCAGCATGAAGACCTTGGCCATCAGGAAGGCGTAGAAGGGCATGACCAGAAACTGGCCCAGGAGGCCCAGCAGCATGGGCTGGGGGCTCTGCAGGAGCCCCTTCAGCACCTCGAGCTCCACTTTGCACCCGAACGAACATTTGTTGACAAAGATGAGAGGCAAGAGCAGGTAGAGTATCGGGTTCTCCGAGAAGTGGGCCAGGTCGGCACCGAGCGGGGCTGGCGCGTCTTCTGCAGGCAAGACCTTGATGCAGAAATCGCTCCGCTCCTCGATCAGCAGGGGCTGGGCCTGGTGCAGGTCCACGAGCTGCAGGTGGAGGGGTGCCAGCCCCTCCAGGCCAGAGCGGATGCTTACCACGAAGCCGCCCCCGCCGCCCCAGCTTATGGCACTCACATTCTTGATGGTCAGCACTGCTGTGTCCAGGGAGGTGACCCTGAGCGTGGGGCCGAGCCTGGTCCCGTTGCTCTGACCTGGGTACTGGCTTGAGACCACGATGATGCCTTCGCTCTCCTCGGGGAACTCAAACGCCATCACTGAGCCGTCCCCGATGCTCAGGTAGCGGGGCCCCGTCAGCGGCCCAGTGTGGCCCAGAGCTATGCTGTGGTTGGCGCTGGCTGTCCCTCGGACTCCCCATGGCAGGCTGGCCAGAAGCACGGCAGCCCCAAGCATACTGAGGGGGCCTGGGCAGCCACCTCCCCTGCCCAGGCCAGGCCTCCCTAACACCATGGCTTCTTCCGTGCGCCCGGGTCCTCTGCAGCTTAGCAGAGCTCCCCAGCCTGTGCCGTTGGCTGCTCCTGAGAGGAATCCATGGGCAAGTCCAGGTCCTGGGCTGCCTTCCTGGATGGCAGAGCTCTCCCTGAGGACAGAAGGGACACAGAGAGGAGGCTGGAGAGGGACAGGAGCAGCAGCCTGGGAGTCTGGGCCCTCTGGGAGCAGCAGTGTGGGGACCTGGAAGCCCATGGCTGGAAGCCTCAGCACAGCCTCTTGCCTCGAGCCCAGGAACAGAAGGGCAATGCCTAGTGCTGGCCCTTAAGTGCCATTCGGCTGTCCCCTCCTCCAGCACAGCTGCCTCAGGTTTCCCACCTGTAGTGTGGCCCCCCTACCCCATCCCTTGCCCAGAAGGACCACCTACAGATATGAGTTACTGTCAGCCGCTGATATCTGCTAATTTCCCTGGACACGCCCTCTCTGCCCCCCAGGGACACTGTGGGGTCAGGAGAGCTACTCCCAGGCCTGTTTAATCCCCAGGGGCTTCAAGACACAGTGACAGTGGGGCTGCTGCGATACCACAACAGGATGTGATCCTGAAATGCTGCTTGGGGATGACCAGGAGACCCGCCTGAGGAGAGGGAAGGGTGCTGATGGGTGCTGATGAGCCCGACCCGGGAGAGAGCAGGCCAGGGAGTTGGAGTGCCTCGGACTAGGTGCAGAGGCCAGCAGAGCAGCGTGGGCAGGGGGAAGGCCTTGGAGGCTTTTGTCTGGCAGCAGCGCGCAGTCGGGAAAGGGGCTGGCATGGCCACCTGGCCTGCCCTACCTGCTGCAAGTGGTGAGAAGGGAGTCCTGGGGAGGAGCAGGTCCCCCTCCCCCAGGGAACTTGCTGGAAGGAGCAGCAGGAAGGGGTCAAATAGGGCCACATGTCCGCTGAGGGCTTCCCCTCCTCCCGGCAGAGCTCCTACTCCTCTGGCAGTCCCCAAATTTGGCTACTGGAGTCGCACCCTCGTATCTGGGAAGCTGTGCTCGGCGTCCAGTCTCCCACCCCCACATGTGCCCCTACCAGCACCTCTCACTCCCAGTGTGTCTATGAGTATATTGGGGTGAAGGGTGCCTCACGGTGAAAGGAATCAATCTTTCTTCCTCCACTTCTCAATTTGGGCAGCTGCCACCTTACTGTCACATCACCTGCTGGAACTGGGGCAACCAGGATGAGGACACAGTGGTGTCACATCTCTACTTTTGGTTGCTTCACACCTTGGCGGAGCCACTGGCTTCTCTAGTTCCTAGCAGTCTCCCGCCCCAGAGTCTGGGGACAGGGGCAAGGCGAAGGTGGAGGACAGGTTACGCAAAAGGCGGGTCCTTGGAGAAGCACCCCCCCAGGAGGATATGGTCTCTGCTGGTTTTGGAGCTTGGGGCACTTACCCTGGAGGCCTTGGTCCAGCCTTGCGTCCCGCTAGGAAAGAGGGATGCAGGAAAACAGAGCTGGGGGCCTAAGAAGCAAAATGGAAAAGATAAAGGCCCCCAGGTCCCCATCTTCCCAGTTCGCCGATACAGCTAGCAGCTTTAGGTCACTGCAACGGGTTCAGCTCGGACCCTAAACCATTTCTGCCGAAGGGCTGGAAGAGTTTGACCAGGATGCTCCCCAGGGCGGGGTATGGATCTCGACCCCGACAGCTTGGTCCACACGGGTTTTCAGTGTCGAGGGCTAGTTGGCCCTGATGATCTCGGGGCTCCTCCCTACCTGGGAGTCCGGAAGTTGTCTCGTTTTCCGCCAGCAGAGCTGCTTCTCACTCGCGGGTGCGAAGCAGGGAGGGAAGGAGCGCGCCGCCGCCCCGCCGGCAGGTTGGGGGCCGCCCGGAGGGCAAGGGAAACCTCGCCCGACCCCCCAGGATGCACAGCCACGCCAGGCCTAGCGAACGCACAGTGTCCGGTCCGTTCCCGCCGGCCCCTGGCGCCGGAGACGGCGCGCAACGGGGCCCGGCCGGAGGCCACCTCCCGCCCGACCCTTCCCGGCCTGGGGTTCTCACCTGCCGCGCCCGCGGAG